ACATGAGTGAATTCGAAACATCAAGGCTAAGTGATTACCGTTGGAGTTGGAACACTGGTTGTTGTTGGTATTGTTGTTGTTGTTGTGGTTGCAGCAATAGTGGTTGTTTCGGGTGGAGTCACTTTGTCAGTAGTTTCGATGGAGGCTTGAGAGGCACTCCCTTCTTTCGACTTCGAGGCAGCTGTCTTTATCCTGATGGCTGAAAATCGAAACAATTAAAGCAAAGGTTAAAGATATGGAAAATAAAAGACGTTTGGGATTTTCCCAAGCATTCGCACCCGTGCCTTGATCAGATTTAATTGACATGGAAGAAAGGTCGTATCGAAGGTGTCCTGGGAAATCATGAAGCCAGTGTCGAGCCCATGTCATAGTCTCAGATGGCTTTGGTTTCCTTTGAAGATATTTGAACATCTCTTTGCAAGTAAACCACCAAGGATATGGGGGAAACCAAGCCAGAGCCAGTTCTGAGGTAGGTAATCTGGGAAATTTAGGTGGATGCATTTCAAATGCCAACCTATACCTATCCTCAGGTGACAACCCTGAAGGAAGTTTTAACTTAGAAACTTTTTGTTTAAATTTTTCCTTCAAGGTCTCAGCCGCTTGATGCACAGTGGAGTCCAAGCGCGTGGGGTTATAAGTAGTTTCAAAATAATTTTGGAAAGCTTTAATCTCTTTGGCATGAGTAAACATACCTTTCTTTGCTGGTACCTGCACATCGAAGGCATCAATTAGTTTCTGTTGAATTGTAAGTGTATCGAACATATAAGTTTGATAAAACTTGGTCCACCATTCCAGAAACCCTTTAGCTGTGAGATGGGTAGGTTCGAAGGTTGTCAGCTCAAACTGGGCAAAGCCTTGATATTGTTCTTGCTGTATTTTGGCTTCCCGTGCCTTGAAAGTTCGTCCAGAAGTGATGGCACTCTCAGTTTGAAATAAAGGTTCAGGAATCAGTTGGCATAAGCCAAACTGCCTCGAAACAAAATTTGGTTGGTAGGCAAAAAGAAAAATCTGGTTCTTGGCTGGAGTTATTCTTGAAGAAATGAGTCTAGATAGCAAAAAAGCTCTCCATACATCCTAAATCTCCTTGCTCTTGATAGCTTCTGAAAGATCCATGGTGAACCAAGAAGGTCCATGAGCCCTCGAAGCAAAAGGCGCCATGCTCTCTTCGAACTTGTGCCTTTTGGAGAATATCATGATGTACTTCGAGAATTGGACTTTGAAGTCATCTTTGTCGTCGTTTGGAGTTAATCTTCGAAGCCTAGTGCCTTCGACTATCCTATCATTTATCTCAGGATCTTGCTCATCAATGGTGTTGGCGGTTGACAAGGAGGGTTCGAACATGGCATTTAGCCATAGTTGAAGTAACCAAAAAGGGCCAGCCAACAGAATATTCTTGGGGGTATGGGATTTGAGGCTCGAAACAGCTGACCTCAGGCTTTCATAAAGGTCAACTAAGAGCAGTTCACTTAGGCACACTTTTCGATTTTCATGCAAGTCCCTAGCTAGAGGAATGAACCTACTAGCTACCTGTAGGGATCTACTGCAGAAAACGTATCTTGACAGCCACAGGGTTAAGAAAGCAATGTGTTCTACGTCAGACACATTGTCCCCCTCAGCATGGTAATGACTGATAAACTTGGAAAAACTTGCTAGCTTGACTTCGAAGTCAATTATGCTTGAATGTTCCTCGTTGTCGGGGATGTAAGTTTCTCCTACCGGCGATAGCCCAGTGATGGCCGCTATGTCGAAGAAGGTTGGGGTGATCATTCCACCTGGGAGATGGAAAGTGTTATAGGTACTGTCCCAGAAATAGAGGGACGCGAATAGCAAAGGGTGGCTGTAGGTGAAACCAGGCTTCGATAGCTTAATCAGGTTATAAATACCTAATTCTTCCCATTGCTGGGATTTCTTAGCTTCTACTTTCTTGAACCAATTTTGATAAGCAATATCAGAGGTGGGGCAAGATCGAAATGGCTTAAAATTGCTTTTTACATAATCCAATACAAAGGGGTCCTTAGGAGGAACAGTTGGGTTTTCTATGGTGTTTGAACTAGAAGATTCTATTGCCTTAGGGGCGTCCATTTTGTTAAACAAGGGTTTAAAACTATAACAAACTGGGAAAATCGTCCTGGTGTCTTTTAATATTTCAAAAACCGTAAGAGGGCCATTTAAAGCTAACCTCTTACCAGCAACGTTGGTAGGAATGAGTACTTGTGACGCATACAACATTTCTTTTTCCTTTGAAATCATTTGAGGGGCAAGAACGGATTGACCTTGGTGAGTGATGATCTTACTTTCCATGGTAGTTCCTGCAGTTTTTCATTTCTTCTTGGAGACTTTCTTGAGTTGGGAGGAAGTAGAAGAAGACATTTTTGAAGGATGTTAAAAGCTTGGGTTTTTTGATGAGAGAAGGAGGGTAAAAGATTCAGAGTGTGAAAAGAAAAGAAAAGATTAAGTTGGTGATATTTTATAATGGGGAAGTTTAAGTATCCACTGAATAAGGGTGTGATACGTGGAAATCATGGGTTGGTGTGATGAAGAGGTGGCGTAAAGTTAACATGGGTAATAGGCGTGATTTAAAGATAATCATTATCTGTAACTGCACCATACTGTGAAGTGGCTCCAGGCGGTTAAGGAATCCAAAAAGCGCTACGATTGACGTGACTGGAGTCAAATGCATTAAATGTTACGATGATTCGAAAGTCACATCAAAATCTTGTGTAGATGTTTAAAATAGGTATTTCTCAGAGAAATCGAAATACATATTTTAAAGGGGCAATTTGTTGGCTGAAGATTTTGATAATATTATTAGGAGCCAAATGAATTAAACGTTTCGATCGAAATGAGGTAAAGTGTCATGTTTCAAAGTAGCAGAAGCAGTGTTTCGAATAAGCATGTCAAAGCTGGAGCTTCGAGTGGCAATTATGGGAACATATCTAAAGAAGTCTCGAAATAACAACAAGGCTGTGTTTGGAAAGAGCGTTCGAAACGGAGAAATACCAAAGCATTTGAAATTCAAATGGAAGCGGGACATTCGAAGTTTGAAATTTATGTGCTGGAGCATTTGGAGACACGTGGAAAGAAGAAAGAGGTATTGTTCTGCATGTTCTGAACGTGGCATAATCCTATAGCAAGACCGTTATGGTCGAATTAGTATAAATAGAAGTCTTAGTATTAGGATTTCGTGTGTCATATCTATTGTACTAAATACTCAGTAACATTCAAACTACCACATGGCAAGGGAAACGAATGCAAGAGCAATGTACGTATGATAGCACCATGTATTTCTGATTTAATGAAAACCTTTTATCATTTCCAGCACTTTCCTTTATCATTCTGTCAAATAACATTTATAAGTTTTCTCATTTACAGTCTTTTCACTTCGAAATCTCTTCATTAAAGTTTTACATTTCAATGCTTTCTTCACGTTTCAAGCACTTTACATTTCAGAAAACTGTCATATTTTCCATGTCTTTACCTTCAAGCTTTATCCTTCGAACGCCTATTTTTATTTAAAGTCATTTACAGATTTCTTGCATTAAACGCTTTCTTCATATTTCAAACTTTTTACGTTCCAGAAATCCTTTACATTAACTATTTTTATAATTTGAAACCATTTGCTTGCCTTTTATGCAATTTTACATGTCTTTACAATTAACATTTATTCATGCAACTTAGTTTCGTACACGCACATTTTGATTACATCTTTAGACCTTTAAGAGAGAAATCGAAATAAGTCAAACACCTATACAACACTCAAATATCAACCATGAATATATGTTCGATCATGAGAGTTACCCTAATGACCAAGGAATCCTAGGATCAATCTAGTCGATCCTGTGAGTTACCAGAGGAATTGAATAACAGTCAGAAAGATTATTCGATAGTTTGGAAGACTAGCGGTTGTTTACCAGAAATCACTGGAAACAACCACATGCATCTTCCGTAAGTGTCAGTCGCATTGCATATTGTTGAATTTGTTAATACGAAGATGATTTTTAATTACATATTGTTGAATTGTTAATGTGATGATGATGTTGAATTGCATATTGTTGAGTTGTTAATACGATGATGATATTGAGTTGCATAATTGGTATACTTTGTATGACGGATGACGATAACTATATATATATTTGTATAATCATTGTGAATTTTTGGTCGATGATGTTGAGCATAAAATCTTGCATGATATATATGTCGCATACTTATTATTATATGACTTATTATATGGTTGTGATATCTCACCCCTTGTGTTTGAATGTTGCATCTACGTGGGTAACGTGCAGATAATCCGGAGTAGCTCGAGGTCGAGGTTAGCTAAAGAGTTGCCTTACTTTGCATAGATTGGATCGGTGTCAGCTCTGATACGTAACACTTGAGGGATTTTGCGCTTGCTTCGTTTATGTTGGGAGTAAACTTTTGTATAACTCTGTTGTTGAGATTTAGCTATTGTTTATGCTGAATTTTTTGAAAGATAATTTTTATCACTCATGTTGAAGAGTTGAAAGTAATTATTGTTGATGTTTTCTACCGTAAATGAATGCAATGAAGTTTAAGACTATTGAGCATGTGATTTTGTGTTGCGTATCTTATTTCAAGAGCATGTATGATGTATGAATATGTGGCATCCTATTCTTGATATTTTGTTTTATAAATTAATTTACTCTGATTTTATTTATTTTACCGACGGGAAAATAGGGTATTTCACAACGCAATTGAATCAATATTTCCACAGTTTCCTATACAGTATGTACATACAAGCCGTTTTATTTAGAAATCAACACAGGTTTTTTCCAGTTATAAATCAAAGAATAACCGAAACTTATAACCATTTCGACTCAATTAATCAATACAATATATCAAACACAACATCAAAACATCTTCAGATTTTTGTGAAAAGTTTCTACAGCGCAACAAATTTATATCCAACACGAACAATTTTCATCACAGTTTGTCTTAGCAATCACAGTTATGCAAACAAATGAAATAGCATCGAAATCTTACAGAAATCGTAGCGAATGATAAAGGGTGGTGACTGCAACGTTGAAACTGATGCATGTATCCTGCGATGGTGTCGGATAGTTGTTGCAGTGGAAAAGAAGCTTGTTGCGGAACATGAGATGTTGATGAAGTCTCGGCGAAGGCAGAGCTAAGCGTTTCAGGCGGTGATGGCTGAACGAACGGAAGGCTGCGTATTCGCAGTTGCAAATTGAAACCATCGGTGATGATGGTGTATGTGGATGAGAACGAGGGAGTACTATGTTGAGCGGCAGAATATGTTTACAGAAGAAAATCTCATGTGGTTTGGATGGTGATGATGTTGCGATTAAAGTTGGAGATGGAGCGGTTAGAGGAGGAAGTTGTTGAAGCTATTGGATATTGATGGTGGTGAAGAGACAGAGGGAGTAGATAGTTGATGAAGAGAAGCATTTTTCTTTCTTTGATCCGTTTAGATCTTCCTTTCTTTTTCCTTTATCGTGTTTGATTCTCTTGTTATAACAAGCCCTATCTCTTATCCATATAGGTTTCAACCAAATACCAATAATCCCTCACATATATCACTTAATTAAAATGCAAAATAAATCAAAAATATATTCTTAAAAGTAAATTAAAATCTAAATATAAAATAAACATAATTTTTTATATATATTTTTTATAATTAAAATCAAACTAAATTATAAAAATAAACAAAAAAACGAAGAAAAAAAATTATATTTTCTTAATAATAAAGAATAATATAAAATTAATATCTAAAGGAAAAATTTGATAAAGCTTTAAATCGAAAAATAAATATAAATGTGCGAAGAAATGCAAAGATACAAATAAAAATTAAATGGATATAAACGATGCGAATGAGAAAACTCAGGGTAAAATTTAGGGTGCAACAACTGCCCCTATTTAAATATCTTTAACTAGATAATATGAAGATGATCAAGCTTCATATAATCGTAGTGGGAGATAGTTAAATACCAAAGAACCCGGAATTTTACCCTGAGATGCATGGGTATGCGGTGAACGAAAGGTGGCGAGAATGCAGTGAATGCATGACTCTTTTTTATGTATTTTTGAATGATGTATGATATGAGACAAGCTCTATGGGAATTATTGAAAAGACTCAAAACTGGAAATTTTGAGGTAGACTGAATGAGATGACGTGGGAAGACATGTTGGGGAGCGCAAGATATTCTGAATATCTGTAAGGGTGAAAAGGAGCAACCAGAAATACTTGTGAAGAGGGAGATAAACTTTGAAAAGGCAAGCAGCGACATCCAAGAATGGAATTGAATGAGGAGAGAAATACTCTGGAAAATACATCAAAAAAAATTGAAGATACATCAGAGTCATCCAGGAATGGAACTGGATGGACAAGACCACGACATCCAATAACCTTCTTTGGACAAAGGGAGAAACACTTTGGAAAATACACCAGAAACACCTAGAGGAGCACTAGATGCGGAATGAGAACAAATATGAAGATACATCATAGTCATCCAAGAATGACACTAGATAGATAACAACCACAATATCCAATAACCTGCTTTGGAAGAAGGGAGAAACTCTCTAGAAAATACATCAAAAAACATTTGAAGATACATCAGAGTCATCCAGGAAAGAAACTGGACGGACAAGAACACAACATTCAATAACCTTCTTTGGACGAAGGGACAAACTCTCTGGAAAATACATAAAAAAATATTTGAAGATACACCAGAGTCATCCAGGAATGGCACTGGACGGACAAGACCATGTGTTTCCAGTGATTTCTGGTAAACAACCGCTAGTCTTTCAAACTATCGAATAAACTTACTGACTGTTATTCAATTTCTCTGGTAACTCACAGGATCGACTAGATTGATCCTAGGATCCCTTGGTCATTAGGGTAACTCTCATGATCGAACAGATATTCATGGTTGGTATTTGAGTGTTGTATAGGTGTTTGGCTTATTTCGATTTCTCTCTTAAAGGTCTAAAGGTGTAATCAAAATATGCGTGCACGAAACTAAGTTGCATGAATAAATGTTAATTGTAAAGACATGTAAAATTGCATAAAAGGTAAGTAAATGGCTTCGAATTATAAAAACAGTTAATGTAAAAGATGTTCTGGAACGTAAAGGATTCGAAATATGAAGAAAGCGTTTAATGCAAGAAATCTGTAAATGACTTTAAGTAAAAATAGGCGTTAGAAGGATAAAACTTGAAGATAAAGGCATGAAAAGTATGACAGTTTTCTGAAATGTAAAGTGCTTTGAAATGTAAAGAAAGCATTAAAATGTGAGGTTTTAATGAAAAGATTTCGAAATAAAAAGACTTTGAATGAGAAAACTTGTAAATGGTATTTGGCAGAAAGATAAAGGAAAGTGCTGGAAATGATAAAAGGTTTTCATTAAATCATAAACATGTGGTGCTATCATACGTACATTGCTCTTGCATTCGTTTCCCTTGCCATGTGGTAATTTGAATGTTACTGAGTATTTAGTACAATAGCTATGACACACGAAATCCTAATACTAAGACTTCTATTTATACTAATTCGACCATAACGGTCTTGCTATAGGATTATGCCACGTTCAGAACATGCAGAACAATGCCTCTCTCTTGTTTCCACGTGTCTCCAAATGCTCCAGCACATAAATTTCAAACTTCGAACGTCCCGCTCTCATTTGAATTTCAAATGTTTTGGTACTTCTCCGTTTCGAACGCACTTCCCAGACACAACCTTGTTGTTATTTCGAGACTTCTTTAGATATGTTCCCATAATTGCCACTCGAAGCTCCAAACTTTGATATGCTTATTCGAAACACTGCTTCTGCTATTTCGAAACATGACGCTTTGTTTCATTTCGATCGAAACGTTCAATTCACTTGGCCTCTAATAATATTATCAAAATCTTCAGCCAACAAAATGCCCCTTTAAAATATGTATTTCGATCTCTCTGAGAAATACCTATTTTAAACATCTACACAAGATTTTGATGCGACCTTCAAATCATCGTAACATTTAATGCATTTGACTCCAGTCACGTCAATCATAACACTTTTTGGATTCCTTAACCGCCTGGAGCCACTTCACAGTATGGTGCAGTTACAAACAATGATAATCTTTTAATCACGCCTATTACCCATGTTAACTTTATGCCACCTCTTCATCAAACCAACCCATGATTTCCACGTATCACACCCTCATTCAGTGGATGCTTAAACTTCCACATTATAAAACATCATCAACTTAGTCTTTTTCTTTTCTTTTCACATTCTGAATCTTTTACCCTCTTTCTCTCGCCAAAAACCCTAAGCTTTCAACATCCTTCAAAAATGTCTTCTTCTACTTCATCCCAACTCAAAAAGGTTTCCAAGAAGAAAGGAAAAACTGCAGGAACTACAATGGAAAGTAAGATTATCACTCACCAAGGTCAATCCGTTCTTGCTCCTCAGATGATCTCAAAGGAAAAAGAAATGTTGTATGCGTCACAGGTGCTCATTCCTACCACCGTTGCTGGTAAGAGGTTAGCTTTAAATGGCCCTCTTACGGTTTTTGAAATTTTAAAAGATACCAGGACAATTTTCCCAGTTTGCTATAGTTTCAAACCCTTGTTTAACAAAATGGACGCCCCTAAGGCAATAGAATCTTCTGGCTCAAACACCATAGAAAATCCAACTGTTCCTCCTAAGGACCCCTTTGTATTGGACTATGTAAAAAGTAATTTTAAACCGTTTCGATCTTGCCCCACCTCCGATACTGCTTATCAAAATTGGTTCAAGAAAGTAGAAGCTAAAAAATCCCAGCAATGGGAAGAACTAGGTATCTATAATTTGATTAAGCTATCGAAGCCTGGTTTCACTTACAGCCACCCTCTGCTATTCGCGTCCCTCTATTTCTGGGACAGTACCTATAATACTTTCCATCTCCCAGGTGGAATGATCACCCCTACCTTCTTCGACATAGCGGCCATTACTGGGCTATCGCCAGTAGGAGAAACATACATCCCCGACAACGAAGAACACTCAAGCATAATTGACTTCGAAGTCAAACTAGCAAGTTTTTCCAAATTTATCAGTCACTACCATGCTGAGGGAGACAATGTGTCTGACGTAGAACACATTGCTTTCCTAACCCTATGGCTGTCAAGATACGTCTTCTACAGTAGATCCCTACAGGTAGCCAGTAGGTTCATTCCTCTAGCTAGGGATTTGCCTGAAAATCGAAGAGTGTGCTTAAGTGAACTGCTCTTAGTTGACCTCTATGAAAGCCTAAGGTCAGCTGTTTCGAGCCTCAAATCCCATACCTCCAAGAATATCCTGTTGGCTGGCCCTTTTTGGTTACTTCAACTATGGCTAAATGCCATGTTCGAACCCTCCTTGTCAACTGCCAACACCATTGACGAACAAGACCCTAAGATAATTGATAGGATAGTCGAAGGCACTAGGCTTCGAAGATTAACTCCAAATGACGACAAAGATGACTTCAAAGTCCTATTCTCGAAGTACATCATGATATTCTCCAAAAGGCACAAGTTCGAAGAGAGCATGGCGCCTTTTGCTTCGAGGGCTCATGGACCTTCCTGGTTCACCATGGCTCTCTCAGAAGCTATCAAGAGCAAGGAGATTCATGATGTATGGAGAGCTTTTTTGCTACCTAGACTCATTTCTTCAAGAATAACTCCAGCCAAGAATAAGATTTTTCTTTTCGCTTACCAGCCAAATTTTGTTTCGAGACAGTTTGGCTTATGCCAACTAATTCCTGAACCATTATTTCAAACTGAGAGTGCCATTACCTCTGGGCGAACTTTCAAGGCACGGGAAGCCAAAATACAGCAAGAACAATATCAAGGCTTTGCCCAGTTTGAGCTGATAACCTTCGAACCTACCCATCTCACAGCTAAAGGGTTTTTGGAATGGTGGACCAAGTTTTATCAAACCTATATGTTCGATACACTTACAATTCAACAGAAACTAATTGATGCCTTCGATGTGCAGGTACCAGCAAAGAAAGGTATGTTTACTCATGCCAAAGAGATTAAAGCTTTCCAAAATTATTTTGAAACTACTTATGACCCCACGTGCTTGGAATCCACTGTGCATCAAGCGACTGAGACCTTGAAGGAAAAATTCAAACAAAAAGTTTCTAAGTTAAAACTTCCTTTAGGGTTGTCACCTGAGGATAGGTATAGGTTGGCATTCGAAATGCATCCACCTAAATTTCCTAGATTACCTACCTCAGA